CCAAGTATCTGCAAACAATCAAAGGAACATGGAAACAATAACTGATTGATCTGTACAGTTTTCAGATAAGACATATGGGTTGTTTGAAATATATAATTGTAAGAATATTCCCTGCATCAATCTTTGAGTCTGACTGGGTTTTTGGTCAGTTAGTTAAAGGTCTCTAAACAGCAGGTTGAGCTTCCCAGGCTTCTAAAGCTAGGTTCAAACAATGCAATAAGGTTTTCTCCCAATCCTCACAGTTGAATAAAGTTTTCTCACAAGACAGAATTTGGACTAGACCCGTAAATGAAAAGAAAGGGAACTGAGTTAGCTCCACAAACAAGATGGAGTCAGTGTGGTTCACTCAATTCCCACAATTAACTACTTGTCCTAATTCCCTCAATTCTCAAAGAAGACAACGGAAATCCTAAAAGAACATTGGCCTTAACAAAGGAATTCAAATTATCTAAGGCTACTTTCTACCTAGTATTTTCCTAAGTAGTCTAGATTCTGAGGTCTACCTCAGTATCTGGAAAGATCTCTGAAAAAAGAAAGTGTTTTTCAGGGTTTTCTGTGTAGATGATTGTAGTAAGGTAATAATTTAAGACATCACTGTAACCAAGTCCTACCAATAAATATTTGATTTCTAGAAATAGATAGGTAAATGTACTTGTAGCATACAAGGAGTATTTTAAAGCAGGAAGAAACCTTTAACTAATGGTGTCAAAATCAATTAGAAAGAGGGGGCCACTAAACCATACATACAGATCCCTGTGGGCCATATTTTGACTTAGAATACCACAGATTAGTATTATCTATGTTCTACTATATTTTTTATTTATTTTGGTTAAATATTTTCCAATTACATTTTAATCTGGTTTCACTGCACTCAAGAGTGTTGCCACGGTCTATGGCCTGTGATGCATGTTTTATAGCTCTAAACCACTACTCCAACCAACATAATTATTCTCAAGATATTGTTTTGTATTAACTACCAGCTAGGTAGAAAATTCAGCAGGTCAGCAAATACAGAAATTTTTATAGTATTAAATTTCAATTCAAAAATATGTATTAAATACTTTTACTACTATGTACAAAGGCAATTTAACAAATAACCCAGAGAGACAAACTTAAGGCAGCTATTTTGATTTCAAGTATATAATTCTGGATTCTTGGATCTATTATAGACTTGAATTACGAGCTTGAACAATTTACAAACTTCCTCCATGGAGCAATTTGCTCATATCTAAAATGAGGAAACAACATCTGATGCAACAAAAACATCATGCAGAGATAATGAGCTAATTTTTTGGTCAAAAAGCACTGGGCTGAAAAAAAACAATGTTTAAATGCAAATTATAAAAATAATGCAATTTTATAATATAAACACTTTGGAATATTTAACCATTATAGACTTAAAATTAAGGGTATTTTTAATTTAAAAAATCACCCATGGTCAAATTCAGTTTTTTTACTTGCTGGTAAACATGGCATATAGTGGGAGAAATTAGGGGAATTCTGGGAAAAATATAAGAGAAGGGGTATAAAGCTTTGAAGACAAGAACTGCAATTCTAGTCTTTACTGAGGATAGCAGCAGTCAAATGAAACATGGGTAAATACATATAACAGCCTCCTTTATGACATCATCAAGCATGCAGTTTGCAAATCTCTCCTACAACACATGCTTCGTACTTATCAAAAATATTCCAAGAAGGGAAATACCAGAAACTGCTCAGTTTACTTCATCTTCACTCTTTTACATTAGCCAGTTATATTCATTAATTTCCCCCTACCGTACTCATTAGAAGGGACAAGAATTTATCCCCAACATGGAATAGTGGAAAAAAGTCAGAAGATAGCAATGTTCCAATCATTGTTCCTTTTAACACCAACCAGCTTTATGGCAGGGATAAATCACTCTCTGAGTCTTAGATTCTTCATCTATATAATGGGGGTAATAGTGTTTCCACTACCTACTTCACTAGGCTTTTGTGAGGAAAGTGTATCAGTGGTAGATTGAGGCCTCAAAATCAGGAAAAGCTCTGTTGAAATCTCAGTCTGTCACATACAGAGGATGGGACCCTGGGTAAGTTATATAAACTCTCAGGGATCCCAACAATTTACCAAGACCATAAATTGTTGCACAATTGAAAATATAACTGTCCCTCCAAACAAATATAATTATAGAAATCGATCCCCTCAGCTTTGGTTCTAATTCCAGGGTGAGTCAATTTCTACCTCAGTCCTCTATTTCTCACCAGTTGCAGACCTCTAAACCATGTTTTATGTCATCTCAGGACACTAACACAGGCATTTTATGATTTGCCCTGACACAAATTATATCTTCCCTAAATGCCAACTCTTCCACACTTTGTACTTCTTACTCAGTAGTTGGGGTAAAAATAATCAAATTGATATTATCATTGCAACTGGAAAAAGTGCTGCTCTAAAATTCCACTCATCATCCCTAAATCTATGTAGAATTAAGTCCCCTTCTCTGCCAGCTGGCCCCAGCACATGTGGTGTCTGTCTAATTGGTTATAAGCTCATTGAAGACAGAAACCATCTCATAAAATGGCAGTTATTTAATAAATACCTGTTGATCTGAAATATTTTTTGAAGACTAGTTTATGACTCTGAGCAAGAAGAATATAGCCTGTCTGTGCTTCAAAGAGCAGGGTTTTTTTTCTTCCTTCCCATCATTAAGCTCCTTTGTCGTTGCTAGTACACAGTGCATAGATCCTAACTTCTTCAGTCTAGATTCCTGATGCCTTGTTATCTAAACCCTCAGCTTAGGTTCTTTCTCCTCAATACCACCATGCTCCCCCCTCATTTTTTAAAAATTCCTCTATCTCCTAATCTAAATACACAATCCTTACTTCAACCAATTTACAGGACTTAACCCTTTGTTTATCTGAACTTTCAGTAATTACCAGCTCCTAAGGGTTCTGGTTTATCTTTCTGCACTGACCTCTCGTTTGTTTGACATATGGCACCTGCCAGTCTCCTTTTATGTCTAACAAAACCATTTGTCCTGCCTCTATCCCATTCCTGCCTTGTCTTCTGTGCCAAGATCCAAGATGACAAAAATAACTGAGAGACTTCATTTGAAAATGTCATAGACTTAAAAAAAATCACTGGGAAAATTAAATCACATCTATGGCAGTTTGACAAAGTACCACCATTTGTGAAGAAATAAATACACTTTAAAAGTAGAATAGAGTCGAAATTGGTGAATGGTCAGTTTTATGATATATGAATGTAATAGAAGATTGATGAGTCATAAGGACTGATATATATATAAAGAATTTTGAGAGACATGGGAAAACATAGGAAATGATGCTGAGTGAAGAAAGCAATTTTTAAAAATACATGATAACTTCCATAAAGCATTGAATCTACTTAGACAACAAAACTCTGATAAAGTATGATGGTCAATATTATTACCACCTGTCAAAGTTAAAGGGTGTCTCTCCTTTCTGTTAACAATCATTATATTTTTTTTTTCAGGGAATTTCTTCTTAGAAGGGTGGAGAGTTATTGAAAAGTGGCTTGTGTAGAAAAATGCATCAAGAAATTTCTAAAAATTAAAGACAGAACAAAAAACATAGGGTTCAATTTACGTATTTCATAGCTAGCTCTATAAACAACCACACACACACACACACACACACACACACACACACACACACACACGAAAAGTGTTTGGGAATATTTGCGTCTCTGACTGGCTTCACTTAGTTCAACTACCATGTGGTAAAGAGCAAAGAACTGAGGGATGAGAATGAAGAGACCTGGTTTCTAGTTCTGGCTTTGCAATGTGACCTTGCAAAATCCTTAATTTCTCTAGGCCTCAGTTTGCTCATCTGCAAAAGAAAGTTGCTGAACTAGATTACTTACAGGCCACTCAATTGCAAAATTTTGTGATTCCTACAGTGAGAAAGCATCCCTAATCTTTTTTTCATTTGGAAAAGTAAAATAGGAGGAAGTATTTTCAATAAACTGATATTAATTTTTGGACACTGAAATTCCAGGCTTGCACACTGTTATTTACGTTAAGGTAGGGCATATTGACAATTGTTATGTGATAAAGAAAAAGATTCTTGGACACCTGTCTCATTTATGCAACAAATCCTTTTTTTCATACTTATCTTAACATTCATCTATTTATGTCAAGAAAGAAAACTTATGAGCACAGCATCTGCTCCTATATGATGAAATTGTAGAATGATTTTATAAGTGAAAAAAAAAGACTACACCTTAAACAAAGTTAGTTGTCAAATGTTTCAAAAGGCAAAATGTTAGTCTTTCAACAACATTATCTTGTCTAAGCAGATCAAATAGTGCTTGCAAAATGAATCATCAATGCCAGGCTGTTCTCTACAGAGGGCCATCAACATCCAGTTCAGTAGAGGTCATCGCCAATCACATTTCTTTCTTTAAAACCTTATTATGGATTTAGAGCAATGCTTTTAACTTCTTAGTACATTAAAAATTTGTGATAACTTCTTACTAGCTATTTTTTTTCCTGTAGCCTAAAGTATATTTAAATTCAGTGTCAGCTGCTGACAGTACTTTGATTTTCTGAGTAGCTTGAACTAATTTAAAAACATCATATGTGAATAACAAAGGGAGTTTTAACATGAGATTTTTTTTTTGGACACCAAAATTCAATCTCATGAATCTTTACCAGATTTTTCTAAAATTCATGTCTTATTCTTTTCATTAAAACTGAAACAAAATAAAATTTCATTTCAAAAGCCTAGGAATTACATTGCTTCCAAAGAGCTAATAGTGCTCTCACATTGGGGTGCTTCTCACATTTTCTATTTGATACAGACACTGACTGGGAGCTGATAACGTCATACCCACAAGCTGAAACTTTGTTGAAGCACAGCTGCTTCCCGCCACTGCTCATACAAATTCACAATGTACACAGGTGACCAAAATTCTAGACCAAACACGTCTTTTAGAAAACAACAGTAAAGCATGAAGATTAGAAGTTAAATTGGTTTACCTGCCAGACTGCCAGGTCTCTGAAGGGTAGCAGTGGCATACAGTTCCTGTGAATGCTTGTTGTACTGGTCTGACGTGTGGACTAGACGTTTTGTAGGAGATAGGGTAGCATAAGTGCCAATGGTTGAGCTTAGCTGATGAATAGGAGAGGATGAAATATTAGACTGGATGGTTGGTGGAGAGGTCACACGTATTGGGGAAGGAGAAAGTCCAGCTGAAGACACAACAATATTGATGGGTGAGCTGGTGCTATATGACTTGGCTAGCCGGCTTGGAGACTGCTTAGGAGAGGAGACCCGCTGTGTGGTGCTGTATCCAGTGCTCTCTGAGGCTGACCCCACCCGCTGGAGCTTTGTGGGAGAGCCTACCTGCTGCATGGACAAGGGAGAGCTCACTCTCTGTGCTGGCAGAGTGGAGCTGGAATAATAAAGGGCTGAAGAATGCTGGGAGTCAGGCAAATGGAACGCGCTCCCATGGCTCGGCACAAAGGACTCTCTTGACTGAGAGGCAGCATGTGATTGAGAGGGTTCAGATCCAGCTAAATGGGCTGCTCGGCTAGTTGTGCCCTGTAGTTAAGAAGAGAGAGGGGATGGGGGGGGGGGTGGGGGAAGGAAAGAAAACACAACTTGAGGAAGGCGTAAAGCAAAAAATGCTTCCGTATACATTTAACCCCTTTGACGCAGAAAAAACAACTTTCATCAGATAGAAAAACTTCTCACCAAAATACAGGGTATCCCAAAGGTTTTACTACAATTTTAAACTATTAAAGCTGAAAACTGCATTAAAGACTTTTGGAACATCCTGTAGTTTTAAAGCAAATTAATTGTGTTTTGGATTAAAAGGCAAGCAACTTCTAACCTGCTAAAGTAGTAGCATTTTTAGGAGAGCCAGTAAGTTCACAAATGCATGCTTCAGAAGAAAAAAATGGCTTGACAAATTATTTATATATATATGTATATATATAGACATATAGATGTGTCTATACATATATATGTATATATTTGATTACACAGCTGAGATGTTTCTCACCCTGAAGTGAAAGCATTTCCATTAGTCATAATCTGTAGATTTCTGCAGACCACCAAACACTTTTAAAGTCTCTTCATTGGTTAGTTAATCTCAACAATAAACTCAAGCATTAAATCTTTCTTTAAGGGGCATTTTCCTTTGCAAATTTTCTGCCCTCTCAACCAACCAAGTTGTATACTTATCTGAAGAGCACCCCAAGAGTAACCATACTTCTCAGAGTATATTCAGCTGCTTTACTCATCGAGGATTCTTCCTTTTGGACGAGTAAAGCTGAAAATCATTTCTAAAGATAGAGTCAAAACAAAGACATTCTCTTCTGCCTTCTAAACATACATATATATATATATATATATATATATATATATATATATATATATATATATAAAATGCAGCAGGAATCAGAGAAATTGTGACATGAAAAGAGGGTGAAAAATCAGCCTTCCCTACATTTGAAAACTCAGCTCCACATATTTCTGAGCTTCTGCATGAGAGGATCTTTCTCTCCCTCTCACTAGCTCTCTTTAAGAGCCCCCTGCAGCTGTGTAAGATTGAAAGCCAGTTGCCTCTCATTTATTTACACCGGCACAAAAGAAAACAAGGGCTGGGGTGGAGCTGGAGAGAAGGATTGGAAGAGGAAGCACTTTCCTTAAATCTAGTCCAGGGGCGCATTTGCATTCGAATGAAAACAGTGCATTGTCAACCACTTCTGTGCTGGAGGTCTTAGATCTTCTAGCTTTCTGTGAGGGAGCAAAGGTTTTTTTTTCTTTTTTTCCCTTAAGGAGCCGATAAGGTGGAAAAGGGGTTGTGTGGGGAGAAAGAAAGGGAGCTGGAGCTGGGACAGGAGAGAAAGTGGAGGACTACAGGAAATTGTGAATATGGGCCACAGGCACACAGATAAAGGGAAGGCCAGATAGGAAGGATGGGATGGGGGGTGGGGGAGAGAGACACAGAGACAGAGACAGAGAGACACACAGACACAGACTCGTGGAGAAAATCCTCAGCAGATGCTTCTTATGAAAATTTTCAGTTATGTTAATGAGCCCTTTTTGGAAGGGTAAATAATAGAATGTGCATTCTTGGATTTAGAGGATGATCAGTGGTTGTTAAATTAATAACGTTAAGATTCTCTAATAGCAACACCTTGGAGTATAAGACAACTGAGTACTTTGTTGAAAGCAAGTTCTTATAGTAAATACTGAGCTCTACTTCTCTCCAACCCAAAAAATGAAAGAAAACAAAAAAATCCTTCACATAGAAGAATTATTCAAAGATATGCTTACCAGGCAAAAGACACATCTTTAAATGCCCTGCCTAAATATCTGGTTGGATAGCTTGGGTACCAATTTTGGTTCAAGAGGATTTCAACTTCAGGGCACCCACCTTCAACCTAAAGGAGATGCCCTATTTTCACACAGAATTATTTTGGGGAATTACTCAGAGTCAGATTTTTCCCCTACTCAATTTTCTAGGATAGATACATTGGAAAGAGTTTGCCACTGGGGATCAAAGGGCCCTGGGCTCACTTTCCTAGTGAACACGGGTAAGCCACTTTTCATGACTTCAGTTTCCTATTCTAAAAGAGGTTATATTAGATGACCTCTGAAGTGCCAGTCATGAATCTATGATCCTAAGAGCCTGTTATGAAGCATACCTTCCCAGGTCATATCCATTTGCAAGCTCTGATGAGCTACTGTTTCTAAAATTTTAAATGGAAGCTTAGGGTCACACCAGGAGCAGAGCATAAATGACCTCCTTTCTGCACATTTCTATTTACAGCAGTATTGCTTCTTCATATCCACAGGAGTCCAAGTAGCATACAACAGTGAAACAGCTAGAAGTGCCAGTTTCCCTGGTGTCTGATGAACACCAAACATGGCCCCTCTGAGAGCCTTCTCACCATCTCCTCTAGAGAGATTAACTTGTGTGCAGCTGATGACAGAAATCTGATGAAGGTGGAAAAGGGAACTGCAGCAAGTGGGGGTAAAGGAGGAATTTCCATGGAGAGAGGTAGATGAATGAAATTTTGGGCCAGCAAACAGGTTTTCAAAATCTGTTCTTGGGTGCTTTATAACAGTATCCTGAAACTCACATCCTAAAATGTGATACAGTATATTCAATGTGAAGTACCCAATTTAGTAACCTGTAATACTTCTTCTACTACAGATTTAAAAATATCTATCTACATATATATATATATATATATATCATATATGCATATTATATATATAGATACAGATCTGATTTATAATGAAAAACATAGTAAGTTTTTACTTTATTGAACTATCCAATTTATTGAACCATACTTTGGACCATTGTGTTTCTATGCTAAAGATGACAAAACTCAATATTTTATACAATTGTTTTCAGTTAAGATCAGTCCCATTATACAAATTATTGAGAAATAAACCACCTATACTTTGTTGCTGAAATAAGGAAAAACTGCCATCCTATTCATTCAGTGATTTATGTAATAGTGGGTAGTGGCTCAGAGAAGAAGTAGAAGGGGAAAGAACACCAGGTTCTGATAAAGCTGATATACTTGCCATCACCCCATTCATAGGTTCTCAGATTTAGAAGAAGAAGGGACCATTTCTGTCCAAGACCTCACTTAACAGTGTGAGAAAGCTGTATCTAGAAGTAAAATGACTTACAAAGGCCATGTGAGTAGTATGTAGTAGAGATAAAATATGAATTCAAGTCTCTCACTCTAAATATTCTCCTTTTTTTTAAAAAACCCTATTACAAATGGATAGGGAGCATTTTTTTCTCTTCCCACTTGGCTTTTCCACCCATTCATGTTACCTTTTTTATGAGAGAGAGAGAGAGAGAGAGAGAGAGAGAGAGAGAGAGAGAGAGAGAGAGAGAGAGAGAGAGAGATCAAAGATGAGGGCCATTTACTATATATAGACTACTTCAAACAACACACATCTGTATAGCACTTTAACATTTGTGTTTTCCTCATAGCACTCCTATGAGGAAGGCAGCAGGTCCTTACTTATGCCTTCAAACACTTTGGGACTGTAATGATTATTTTTTCCTTATTTGTTTTTTAAAGAATGATTAATTGTTTGAATTCAACCATTCTGCTTTGTTCAAAACTTGGGTGTTATCTTTGAACCATCCCTCTCACTCACTTCTCATTAGTTACCAGGTCCTAGAAATTCAATTTCCCTGACATCTCAATCCATCTAGCTTACTTTGGCCAGACTAATATTCTGTGTGTAAGAGACTTCAAGAAGCCAAAAAGGGAGAGAGGCAGAGGGGGAGCTTTGGGATAGAATCATGTCACTTCAAGTTGCCATAAATAGTTCCCCTGGCTCTTTGCCTACTGAACATAAAGGTTTCAACTAGCATCTCCAGAATCTGGCTGAGACCTGAATTCTCAGCTTTATCTTCTCAGTATCACAGAACTCGAGTTGGAAGGGACCTTTGATGTCATCTCATCCACACTCCTTATTTTACAGGTAAAGAAGCTAAAGTGCAGAGAGAGTGCAACTCCTTTTATTCCTCTACCTGCTCTTCAAGCTCTTGCCAAATGGGACACATGTATTTTCTTAGGATGATAGTATGTAGGATTGAAGGGACCTTAGGGAGCTGATTCAATTAAATTTGATTAAAAAGCATTTATAAAATCCTGCTCCCTTTTTTTTTTCTTTATGGTAGGCTTTAGGGATACAAAGGCAAAGATCTAACAGTCCCTATCTTCCTGGAATTTAAATTGTGTAGGATTTGAAACTGTTGACCACCTCCTCTTTGAAACTCTCCTATGTGTTTTCAAGACCCTCTTCTCTCCTGGTTTTCATCGTGTTTGACTTCTCCTTATATGTCTTTTTTGGGGCTTCTTCAGCCATGTCATACCCACTAACTGTAGGTCTTCTGTTAGGGTTGTGCTGGAGCCAGATATAACCAGCTTAGGAGAGCAGATTGTTAAATTTTCATTGTGAGCATTTATAGCTTGAAAATTGCAAATGCTACAGATTTGGAACTGATTTATTGTTCTGTTAATTTTTAGGCTTAAGAAAGTTTAATGGAGGAGGTTAATAATGTGGCTTAAACTTAAAAATATGTTGTTGGTATTTTTTTTTGTTTTTTTTGGAGAGCAGGTTGCTGAACATTTACCAGTGTAGGCTATGCCCTAGACCCTCTCCACTTTTACCTCTATACTATCTTGCTTAATGATCTCATCAGCTTCCATGTGTTCAGTTAACATCTGTATATAGGTAATTCCAAGAACCATATATTTGTAGCCTCAGTGTCTCTCCTGAGCTGAACAATTACATCACCAATTGTTTTTGGACATCTGGAATAGATCAAAATGTCAAAAACAGAACACATTATCTTTCCTCCAAAACAGCTCCCTCTGTTAAACTTTCCTCTTATTGCCAAGGGCACTACTATATTTCCAATCACCCAAGGTTACAATCTCAGCATCATATTTGATTCCTCAGTCTCACTCATCCCACATATCCCAACTGTTGCCAAATTTTGCCATTTCTACCTTTACAACATCTCTCATGTGTATTTCCTTGTCTCCACT